AAAAAAGGGATTTGTATATCTTGGAATCAATATAGTGAAAGACCCAGAGAATACAATGAAGGCCAATGTAATTCCTCTTATTAGAGAATGTACTCACTCTCTGAAACAATGGAACGCTCTGCAGTTATCATGGTGGGGAAGGGTTAATTTTATTAAGTCATATGTTTTCCCTAAGTTTATCTACTTACTGAGGATGATTCCTCTACAGATCCACCCCCAACGGCTTAGACTTGTGAATAAGTTATTCAGGGATTATATTTGGTCTGATAAGAAACCTAGAATATGCCAGGATCTCTTATACTTGAAGCATAAGGAAGGAGGGATCGGTTTTCCAAATATTTTTTTATATCATCAAGCGGCACAGTTGATGCATACTCTTCCTTTAATTAAGCAGTATTCATGTTCACAAGATTGGTTTAAAATTGAAGGTGCAGATATTACAGATCCATACAATAATGTTAGATTAATGTGGGCCATAAGAAATAATAGTAGAACTAAAAATATAAGATGCACGATGGATAATTTGATAACTAGACCGCTCTTAAAGTTCTCGCTACATCTTAAAAATCTTTTAGACTTGAAAAATAAAGTTTTACCTGCTCTGACCTTCAAAAATCTAGATACATGGATGGAAAATATGGATACGTCCGAATGGACTAGACTTGGTGTTAAAAAATTAGCTGACCTATTAGTAGATGGGAAGATTATGCCCTTCGCTGAGATACGCAGAATCTATGGTATTTCGTATTTACAAACGTTTAATTATATCAGAATTAAAAGCTTTCTGCAAAGCGCTCTTGGAAGCAACATGAGTTCTTTCTCATTATCTAAACTAAATGTTTTGATAGACTCAGAGAAAAATACTAAAATACTAACTAGATGTGTTGAGATTATAAAAGCTATAAAAAGACCTGAATGAATAGGACAGGATGGTCAACTTTGTTATATGTTTGTTAGTCTATATGTATTTCTTTATTTATTGTATTTACTTTAAATGCATTGTATGATATGCACACAATGTATGATATGTATATATATGTATGTTTGATATAAAAGGAAAATAATAATTAAATAAATTATAAAAAAAAAATAGTTAGAGTAGAATTTTGGTCTGGATTAGCAATCATGTAAATGTCCGACTCAGGTTTATATAGCACATTGAGTGTTGTTGGGAAATGCTACAGATATACAACAGGTACAGGAGAGCACATTTGGAGCTGGGGTGCCCAAAAGGTAGATCCCCCGATGATTTTTAAACTACAGCTTCCATGATGCTTTGTGTGAAGAAAATAGACTTTGGTTCGGTATTTTCTCCTATGTTCGGCTTTTTGTACCTTATTTGTTGCATATTGACTCTATTGGTTCGGTAGTTTGAAACTACCGAACACCGACCACCCTCCTGGCTCATTAACTTCAAAGGATCCGTCTATTAAGCGCTCTCCCTGGGCGGCGGCAGTTCGTATAGCCGAATGCCACGTGGAACAAAAAACGACGACCATCTTGTTCGCACGAAAGGAGGCAGCGGGACTTGGTCGTCGAGTGTCTGGAACTAAAATCGGACACTCGACCGCACGAACCACCGCTTAAATTACCGAACGCCTGCTTCCTTTAGTTGCCGAACCACCAGGAGAGAGCCATTCGGTAGTTTTGTGCGAACGGACAAGGGGAGTCGATCGCTCCTATGAGCCAGGAGGATCCATTCGAGACTTTGTTCGTTTTTTACCTTTTTCTGAATTGACCGACCACACACGCTGAATTCGTGGAACTGTTTTGGGCAGGAGCCTCGTGTGTGGTCGGTAAAATATGACTTCCATACTTTTTAAGAACCCCTGAACCGATCTGGGTGAAATTTGGATATGTTGATCTCCCAGATCGGGGTATCAGGGGATATGTAATTTGTGGGGATACCTTGTGGGGAAAGGGGTGTTCTAAGTTTTGAGGAAATTGTGTGCTCTCTGCCTGGAGATAATTGGTTTATTCCTTAACTTATCTCAATATCTCCCAGGCAGAGAGAGGGCGGGGGTTACTGTAAATCTGTATGTTGATTGGCTGTTGTCTTTGTTTGCTGTGGGAGGTCCTCTTGCAGGAGGATTTCTCATAAAATCCTGTGTGTTTTCAATAAACTTCATTCCTGTTACACCCTTCATGAAGTCTAGGCCCATGTTTGGGGGATATTCTATTTGCTGGGGAGAATCGTCTTGGAAACTGCATTCATCTACACTATTCCTCTACTCCCTGCTGCAGCTATAATCACTTATGCTCAGCTGTTGGGAAAGGAATAGAAGGCCGCAGTACCATAACCAGTGCAGGTCTTAACAACTGGTGGCAAGTGACGGGATTGAATGGAACGCATAAAGATGACTGGTGAATGGCCCAGCAGTAAGAGAAACTAAAAAGGACTACGCTAAAGGATCTGCTGGAAGCCCGAGGTCAGGTGGCAAGCAACAAAAAGAAAGCTACCCTGATAGCAGAACTAATGGAGGGCGACCAAACCAGCAGCATGACGAATGTCAGCCAGAAGGAAGCAGAATTCCAACAGGTTATGTGGAGGCTAAACCTATATGGGCCAAATCCCACACCTGAGATGGTGATGCAAGTCCTGGCACAAGTGATCGCAGAACGCAGAGCACAACAGGCAAGTTTAAATCAAGGAGACACCGCTTCCTTAGCTGGATCTATAAATGGAGGGCAGCGGAGTAAGATTAATTATGCTGCTTTTAAAAGTTTTTCGGATGGAGAGATGGAAATTGACGCATATTTACAAGCTTTTGAGTGTCAATGCGCTTTGGAGGGTCTGGAATCAGAGCAATGGGCCGCGATTTTAAGCAGCAAGCTCACAGGCCGAGCAGCAGAGGCGTACCGAGCAGTTCCTGACAGAGCCATACACGACTACGCCTGGGTAAAGGACATTCTGCTAGCCAGGTATGCCGTGACCCCAGAGACTTACAGGAAAAAGTTTCGGGCATTACGGAAAGGGGGCCGAGACTCCTACATCGAATGGGCCTTTAGGATGTATCGGGCAGCCCAAAACTGGATACAAGGCTGCCAGGCCACAACGCTAGAGGAGGTGCTGCAACTCCTCTTGCTAGAACAATTTTTTGACCACACACCTGCAGACAGAGACAGGAAGCCGACCACAGTCGAGGAAGCGGCCAAGCTGGCAGATGAGCATCACGAGGGAAGAAAAGGAGAGGCTAGTGGAAACCGTCCTCTGGTAAGGTACAGCGCTCCAACGCCAGGTCCTGTGGCCAACCCCAGACCAAACACGGTACCACTCACGACACAGCCTAATTTTAACAGGAGAACACAATTGGTATGTCACCAGTGCAATCAACCAAGGCACTACAAAATACATTGCCCTCAGCGGAGCAGAGGCAACTGGGAGCGGCCACCACCGAGGGCCGCCGCTCACCACTATCAACATGAACCCCTGGAAGAGCACAGCCTGGATTCGGAGCAATGGGACGTACTCCATGAAGTGAACCTAGCCCAAGCCGAGGGGGACAACCGGGTGCACCACAGACAATGGGTCACCATAGATGGAAAAGAGGCTGAGGCACTACGAGACTCTGGGGCCACCCTTACTTTGGTGCATATCTGCAAAGGCATGCACCAACAGGACTGTTGCAGTAAGAGTGGCCGGAGGCGCCATCCACAAGTTACCCACAGCTCGAGTACAGTTAAATTGGGGCACCGGAGCCAAGCAGATGGAGGTGGGCATTATGTCTGAACTACCTGCGGAAGTTTTGTTGGGGAACGACTTGGGGTGCCTAACTTCGTAGGTGATTCACCCCGATCCCGCTGGAACCTGCCTCGTGACTACCAGGGCACAAACCCACCGAGCTGGACCGACACACTCCGAGGAACCACAGGTAGGAACCGAAATCCCTGTAGCATGCCCTAACCCTATCTCCTTCTGGGGCACTCCCCAAGACTTTGGCCAAGCCCAGCAGTCAGATCCCACCTTAGTAGGTTACAGGAAGGCAGTAGGTACCTATAAGGAAGGTAATGCCCACAAGAACTTCCACTGGGACAAGGGACTGCTATATAGGGTCACAGGGGGAGTGGGAAAGGGGTCAGCCCAAGTTATAAAAAGACAGTCGTACCCCGTAAATACAGGGCAGAGCTTCTAAAGCTCAGTCATGATATCCAGCTAGCAGGACTGGGTTTTAAGAAAACTAAGGACCGCCTTACCCAGACGTTCTTCTGGCCAGGGATATCCAAAGATTTGCAGACCTACTGCAGGACATGTGACACATGTCAAAGGATAGGGAAAAGGGGGGATCACCCTAAGGCCAAGTTACGGTCCCTACCTATAATAGCGGAACCATTCTACAGAGTGGCAGTAGATCTGATAGGGCCTCTCAGCAAACCCAGGTCCTCCGGTATGCGCTACATCCTCACGGTGGTGGACTACACATTGAAGCAGAGACAATAGCAGAGGCTCTAGTGAGGATCTTTTCCCGAGTAGGTTTCCCCAGGGAAATACTTTCAGACCAGGGAACCCAGTTCACGGCAACTGTAACTCAACAGTTGTGGCAGCCGTTATTTAGCTCCCCCTACTACCCCCAGACTAACGGTCTCTGTGAAGGATTCAACGGCATGCTTAAGCAAATGCTCACCGCGTTCACAGAGTCCTACGGTCAATGGGAGAAATTTCTACCTCATCTCCTGTTTGCCTACCGGGAAGTGCCTCAGGCGTCCACCGGGTTCTCCCCCTTCAAACTCCTATACGGGAGAAAAGTCCGGGGACCCCTGGACCTTATACGGGAGCACTGGGAGGGCAACACAGGAGAGGAAGGGATCCCAGTTTTGCCATATGTGCTGGAGCTCCGGGACCGCTTGCAGGCCCTGACCGAATCAGTTCGGGAGAACCTGCAGGCGGCCCAGAAATGTCAGAAACAATGGTATGACCAGGGAGCACGAGATAGGAACCTGGAGGTAGGGCAAAAGGTACTAGCCCTCAGACCTTCCAAAAAGGACAATCTTCAGGCAGCTTGGCAGGGGCTATTTAAAGTGGTGGAACGGATTAGCGACACCACCTATATTGTAGCCAAATGTTCAGATGAAAGGATCAGACAAGCCTTTCATGTAAAAATGTTGAAACCGTACTTCGAGCGCTCCGAGGACGTGACTGCCATCTGTGCCCCGTCCACTGATGATAGTGAAGGGCTCCCCTTACCCGACCTGCTAGCAGCTAACCAAGGTACCTTAGAACAGGTCGGGTTGGGGGAAAAACTAGACCCCACCCAGCAGGCAGACGCAAAACAACTGCTGCGGGAATACGGTGGGCTGTTCTCGGTCCTACCCGGGTACACCTCCGCTGCAGTGCACCGGGTGGAGACGCAGGGGGAGACCCCATTAACAGCCGTACCGTATCCTGGCAGCAGTAGGGACTAGCATGTGGAAAGAAATCCAAGAAATCTTAGAATTAGGGGTTATTGAAGCTTCCCAAAGTCCCTGGGCGTCTCCAGTGGTTTTAGTACCGAAGCGAGACGGTACGACTCGCTTCTGTATTGATTACCGGAAACTGAACGACCGGACTATCACTGACGCATACCCCATGCCACGGATCGACGAACTGCTTGATCGCATGGCCAGCGGGCACTTCCTAACTACCCAAAGGATACTGGCAAATTCCGCTAGACCCGGCCACCATCCCTAAGTCGGCATTCGTCACCCCATTCGGGCTATACCAATTTCGGGTTATGCCATTTGGGATGAAGAATGCACCAGCTACGTTTCAAAGGACGGCGGACCGACTTCTGAAGGGAATGCAGGACTTCGCATGTGCCTATCTAGATGATATTGCCATCTACAGCGGCACATGGGAGGCACACCTGTCGCACTTGGCTACGGTATTTGGGAAGTTACAAGAAGCCGGCCTCACCCTGAGACCCGAGAAATGCCATGTGGGTATGGCAGAGGTCCAATACCTAGGGTATGGGAACAGCGCCCCGAACCAGCTAAAGTAGAGGCCATAGCCAATTGGCCCCAGCCCCTCACCAAGACGCAGGTATCGGCCTTCCTAGGCACAGCAGGGTATTATAGAAAGTTCGTCCCTGAGTATAGCACTCTAGCAAAACCCCTCACTGATCTGACCAAAAAGTCCCTACCCAAGCAGGTAGCGTGGTCCCCGGAGTGTGCAACGGCGTTCCAAAGACTTAAAACGGCTTTGAGCGAAGCTCCAGTATTGGCGGCCCCAGACCCTAATAAAACATTTCTCGTTCATACAGATACCTCCATGTTTAAGTTGGGAGCCGTGCTGAGCCAGGTGGGGGAAGATGGCATGGAGCACCCGGTGGCATCTCAGCCGTAAGTTGCTACCTTGGGAAAAAATGCCTGGCGCTAGTATGGGCCTTAAAGAAACTCCAACAGTACCTTTATGGCCGTGCTTTTACCCTACTTACTGACCACAACCTCCTCATTTGGCTCAACCGAGTCTCTGGAGACAATCCCCGGTTGCTACGCTGGAGTTTAGTGTTGCAGCCCTACAATTTTACGCTGCAATACCGCCCAGGCCAGCAGAACTGCAATGCGGATGGGCTTTCCCGCCAAACCGACTTGGATGTTTAATTACGCTACCCGGACATCCCCTAGCCAACCTGGCAGAGTCTAGGCGGGTATGCCGACCCATGGAACTAAGGGGGGAGTATTGTGAAGAAAATAGACTTTGGTTCTGTATTTTCTCCTGTTTGGCTTTTTGTACCTTATTTCCTGCATATTGACTGTTGGTTCGGTAGTTTGAAGCTACCGAACACCCTCCTGGCTCATTAACTTCAAAGGATCCGTCTATTAAGCGCTCTCCCTGGGTGGCCGCTGTTCGTATAGCCGAATGCCACGTGGAACACAAAACGGCGGCCATCTTGTTCACACGAAAGGAGGCAGCGGGACTTGGTCGTCAAGTGTCTGGAACTAAAATAGGACACTACCTCACGAACCACCGCTGAAACTACTGCGCACTACTGCATCCTTTAGTTGCCGAACCACCAGGAGAGTGCCATTCGGTAGTTTTGTGCGAACGGACAAGGGGAGCAATCACTCCTATGAGCCAGGAGGATCCATTCGGGACTTTGTTAGTTTACCTTTTTCTGAATTGACCGACCGCACATGCTGAATTCGTGGAACGGTTTTGGCCAGGAGCCTCGTGTGTGGTCAGTAAAATATGACTTCCATACTTTTTAAAGAACCCCTGAACCGATCTGGGTGAAATTTGGATGTTTGTCTGCCAGATCGGGGCTACATAGAAACAGACATAGAATGTGACGGCAGACAAGAACCATTCGGCCAATCTAGAATGCCCAATTTTCTAAATACTTTCATTAGTCCCTAGCCTTATCTTATAGTTAGGATAGCCTTATGCCTATCCCGCGCATGCTTAAACTCCTTTACTGTGTTAACCTCTACCACTTAAGCTGGAAGGCTATTCCATGCATCCACTATCCTCTCAGTAAAGTAATACTTCCTGATATTTTTAAACCTTTGTCCCTCTAATTTAAGACTATGTCCTCTTGTTGTGGTAGTTTTTTCTTCTTTTAAATATAGTCTCCTTTACATATTTAAATTTTTCCATCATATCCCCCTCTCGTCTTTCCTTCAAGCTATACGTGTGTTTTCAATAAACTTTATTCTGGTTACACCCTTCATGAAGTCAAGGCTCATGTTTGGGGGATATTCTATTTGCTGGGGAGAATCGTCTTGGAAACTGCATTCATCTACACTATTCCTCTACTCCCTGCTGCAGCTATAATCACATCCTCAGCTGTTGGGAAAGGAATAGAAGACCGCAGTACCATAACTACTGCAAGTCTTAACACTGCTATTCTAGAGACATGCAAAGCATCATGAGAGTTGTAGTTTGACATCTGGGGGTCTACCTTTTGGGCACCCTGATTTAGAGCATCTTGGTACACCTGTTACCAGCCATGCCATCAAGTTTTATTATACCCCGGCCAACTCTTATCCCATTAGCAGTTTAATTTCAGATCTAGAAATGGTAGAGAATACAATGGAGAATAGTGTGTAACTACACAATGTAATGGCAGGTATACCTGCAGTTGATTTACATAATTGATCTGATGTGTGAATCCAACTTGCTGCATCTCCCATTAAATTCACTTTAGAAAGGGAAGAAAAAGTTTTACTTACAGTAATCTATTAATTCCACCTAAAATGGTAGAGTAAAATAGCTTTTTGGTCAAACTGCCTTTTTCTTGTAGCTTGTTTTGCAGTGAAATGTGCAAAGTTTTGAAATTGTATTTTCAGTGCAATTCTCTGTGCTCTAAATTTACATTAAATGATTGTTGAATTTAAATATACTTTGTTCAGGATACAATAATTTGCACACAAAGCTTGTAGATAGAGATATTTATTGGTAAAAGATCTCAATATCATTTAAGTATTTATTCCATGGTTTAAAGCCGCTTCATGCAGCATGCAATGCCCGCCATTTATCCAGAGGACCGCTGTTTGGCATATATTTAACTCCACAACCATCTGGAACGAGACGCTTTTCTGCTACCATGGCCTCAAAGTCGTCAGCGTTGAACTTTGTAAATCCCCATTTCTTAGAGATATGGATCTGTGGGATAAAAAAAAAATATATAAGTGATTCAGAAAAGATCTTCGATACAAGGTAACACTTTAGTAAACACTTCTCTTAACACAATACAATAAAGGCACTACATTTATTAAATAACAATTCCAAAACAAACTTTACATTTGAAAACACGAGGGATCGTCCTCATCGAATGCTGGGCAAGGGCCATTAAGTTCTCAATGGATTTTCAGAATGCCAAAACCGCAAACCCTTAATGCCAGCTAAGCAAGCTCAGAAAAGCTACTGAAAGCCATCAGCAATTCCAAGGCCATAACATCAAAAACCCATCTGATTTATAGCTTTAACTGAGACTCATTTATTGAATACAGGATTATATAAAGAATGTCTAAGGATTTGATAGCAAGAAAATTGCACATCCAATGCATGGATTACCACAGGGCTTAAAGGGACACTAGGCCAGGGGTAGGCAACCTATGGCACTAGTGCCATGCACGGCACTCGAGGTGTCTTTCCACGGCACTCGAGACTGCTAGAGCCAAACAGGCTCTGGCCTATCAGGAGTCTCAGTAAAACTTCAGATATCTGCTAATACGAAAAAATGGTGAAGGACAATCCTCAATTTATGCATTGCAGAGCGTAGAGGAAGTGATCTCAGATCAATTCCTCCCAGCACTTGTGAATGGGAATCCACACTGTAGTAGAGCAGCCCACAGCTGCTGTTACAGCTCCTGTCCTTGATCTGTATCTGGCCAGCCTGGTCCCCACTGGAACCCAGAGAAGCCACTCACACTGATATGCACAGAAATGCACAATAAGCCTCCCCTCATACAAATAACACGAACAGCCAACACACAAACATACACACAATCCCCACAAACGCAACACCACTAACAATCCACATACATGCACACAATCCAACATGCAGCCTATCACAAGCAATACCCCAAACAGACCCACACACTACCAAACACAATGTGACATATCCATCCACACAATTCCACAAGTAGCCCTCATACACAGCCCACATTCATACATATACACAATACCATAAACCACTGATGAACATATACAATATAATAGCTCATATACACAAATACAACGATACAAAGCAATTACAGTAAAAATAACACAAGCAGAATACGGCAGCATACACACCTCAGTTTACAAAAATAGGACCGGCACGCTACAGGACATCACAATCCTATATCGGCACAGTGCTGCTAAAAGGTTGCCTACCCCTGCTCTAGGCACTGTATCTGCTTCATCTCATTAAACTGGTTATAGTGTCTGGAGTCCCCTGGTACCATCATTTCTTTCAACATTAAACAGTTTTTAATGCTAAACAAGAGTCCACGGCAGTCTATCGCCTCTGTGCTGCTTTGGCTAATAAGGAAGTATTACCCTGAGAGGCAATGGGCAGCTGTGATTGGCTGAGAGTGTTAGCTGACTGCTTTTAACCTGTCAGAGCTCCAACTGACGGTATGAATGGGTATGACAACAAGGAAGTGTGTAATCTCTGCTTTAGCTACACATACAGAAGTGGCCGGACTGAGGGTGGCCAGGGACTCTTATTTTGTGGCATACTGCACAAACATAGTGCAACACTGAATGGAGGGACAGTGCCAGGCCACTCCAGGCACTATATCCAATTCAAAGAGACAAAGTGGTTATAGTGACTAGTGTCCCTTTAATATTTCAAGTGTTCCACAACTAAAGAGGTGTCAAAGTTACTGCAAGCCTGGTGGGTCCCAGACATGTACAGGGGAATTTTTCACTTGCCAATTGGAATGGACTAACCAACTACAGGACAAACCTGCAATTATCACAGACAGAAAGGACTTATTGCTTATTCCTTTATTAATGGACATTTACTTTGATGCGCACTCTGTTTTCAAATGTAGCGGTAATACCCTGCCTGTAAGGATGTGCAAGATCCCCGATGGCAAAAGCAGCACTGCTTACTGAAACATTGCTACAAAATTTAAAGCAGTTTGCATTTGAGCACAATGTCCAAATACAACAAGCACAAATAATTGTAAAATGGATATTTAAAAACCTTTAACAGTCTGACATTCCTTAATTAAGGAGAGAACTAAATCAATTCACTTCTCCCCCTCCTTGACTGTAGACAAAAGTATGACCTTTTAGTTCTATTACTGTTTGGGGGGAGTCATTCCGTGACATTTATTTTGTGAAATTGGCTCTGGCAGAAAAATGTATTCCTCTAGAAGCGGCTAATCATTCCTGGATTATAAAGGCAAGACTTAGACTAAAATTTAGCAAAGCAAGTTAATGTCAAACAGTTTTGGTAAATCAAGTTGAAACCCCAAAACAATCTCAATTACAAGCTAAGGAAACTTTAATTTATCAAGTGATGCAGTCTTACCTTCTGCCTCCCAGGGAATTTGAACTTTGCCCTTCGCAGAGCTTCAACAACATGTTCTTTATTCTGTGTTTTGGTGCGAATAGACATGATCACCTGTCCAATGTTCACTCGTGCCACTGTGCCCTGGGGCTTTCCAAAGGCACCACGCATCCCGGTCTGAAGTCTGATAATAGACAAGTTTAGAGATTGCCAAAAGATGGTGCTACAAAGATCAGTTAAAAGAATGGATGTTTCCAAGGCCCCTTAGAGTACCCTGTATGGTAAACAAAGCACATACACAGCCAAGGAACTTTATGTATGCAGCCATTGCACACCAGCAACTGATTGCAGCAAATGATGGTCGGCTTAATTGACTGCAAATGTTTTGATTCTTAAGCGTAGCAGAAAGATTGAATTGAAGACTCCACTGAGAAGAATTGACATACAGTTCTTAAGACATGTATTTATTAGCTTACCTATCAGCACCGGCACAGGATAACATCTTGTTGATGCGGATGACATGGAAGGGATGCAGACGCACTCTAATGTGGAAGCCATCTTTACCACAACTCTTCACCATGTATTTGTTGGCACAAATACGGGCTGCTTCAAGAGCTAGAAAGATATGTTAATCTTAAGATATTACCAATGCAGGTGGTAAGTCAGTGGCAAGAGAACAAATACTGTAAAAACAGGCAGGCTTGCCAGTACCAGACACTAATAAGTGCAACTTGTTATCTACTTGTGATCACGAACCTTTCTGAGCACATGTGCCCAAATTGCAACTTGAAACAAATTTACCTCAAAGTAGCAACACTGGAATTAAACAAAAGCAGAGGGCAGGATGTGTGATGTGCTCCGAGTCTTCCTATATTATTAAAGGACCACTATAAGCACCCAGACAACTTCAGCTCAATGAGGTGGTCTGGGTGCCAGGTCCATCTAGTTTTAACCCTGCAGCTGAAAACATAGCATGTTTCACTGAGGGTTAATCCAGTCTGGCTCTCACTGAGCCGCTAGAGGTGCTTCCGCGATTCTCACAGAAATTACAGCGAGAAGACGATGGACGTACATAGGAAAGCTTTGAGTAATGCTTTCATATAGGCTGTTTGAATGCGCGCGGCTATTGCTGCACATGCGCATTCGGATCTAATGTGCGCAGGGTGTTTAGAGTTCCACAGAGGGAGCCTGGCGCTGGTGAAAGGTAAGTGGCTGAAGGGGTCTTAAATCCTTCAGCCCAGCAGGAGAGGGGACAATGATCCTATACTACCAGTAAAACTAGTTTGTTTTCCTGGCACTATAATGCTCCTTTAAAGGACCACTATAGTGCCAGGAAAACACTTGTTTTCAGGGCTCTTTGGGGTCTCTAGATCCCCCTCCCGCCAGGCTCGGGGTTTAAATTTACCAGCACCGGGCTCCTCATCGGCTGAACGCGCATGCGTGGCATGAGCCATGCATTCAGCCAGTCCATAGGAAAGCATTCTCAATGCTTTCCTATGGACGCTGGAGTCTTCTTACTGAAAATCAGTGAGAAGCACGGAAGCACCTCTAGCGGCTGTCAATGAGAGCCACTAGAGGCTGGATTGACCTTTTTATAAACATAGCAGTTTCTCTGAAACTTATGTTTATAGAAGGGTTAATCCTAGCTGGACCTGGCACCCAGACCACTTCATTAAGCTAAAGGGGTCTGGGTGCCTATAGTGGTCCTTTAATGCATTTCAATGAAACAGCCTCCTAATTGCAAAGATGTAAGTAGGAGAGGGCAATCTTCCCTGGTGTTTTTGGGGGGCCCAATGTGTCTTGTGATCTAGTGGTGGAGTGGATAGCCTAAATCTCTAAATAGTAAAGGAGAAAGAGCGATATTAATATGGTTTTCACCAAGTGTGGTAGGTGCAAAGACCATTATGAATCAAGCAACAGAACACTCCAAACACCTGAAGCACTTTAGATTGCTGAAGTGTTTTGTAAAATGAAATTACATTTTACAAGTGCAAATTTCAATTGAGATTTAAAGGTCAGACAACCAGTCCTGTTACTACTTTGTTTAGCTAAAATAAGAGGATCTGCATTGGAAAGTCTGCTTGGACAGCCACAAAGGCTGCAGACAGATTTGTAGCCTTTGCAAGCCACTGTTCAATTCACCCCAAATGGAAAAAAATATACGACAAATTAGATTTGTCTTTGGCAAGTGGAATGTACCTTTAATATGGTCTGCACCAGGTGAACGTACAGACCATGAGCTCTACCATCTTATATACAGCATGAAAAACTGATTTTGATGGGTGGCAGACATACTTTAAACCAATACCCATCCAATGCATTGTATCCCTTTAGAGCTATGACCGCTCTAAAGTCAGCATACTCGTTGCACTTTAGAGTGGCTTACAGCCCACTAAGATTACTTCTCTAAAATGTATACAAAAGAGGGCCAATCATTTTATTCTGCATGGAAAAAAGTAGTTTAAACTAGCAATGAAAGCACACAAAAAACCAGAGTGGCATCCCAAAGATCCAACTTCACTGTTTTAAGAGATAATTGTGCCATAGCTAGGGGTACACAAAGTCCCAGAACTTTAGCTTAATGAAGTGGTTGAGTGAGTCTTTAAAGCACCTTCTGTTGTGTGCTGAATTGTCTTTTCCGTTGTGAAGTGTAGTCTAGAAATTGTAAGTGGAGGCATGGTGTAATACCAGAGGAATACATAGGCCTAGCAGGTATTCTATTGCATAGCATACCTTCTGATGACAGCTGTTCATATTCGTCAGAGACCATGTGTCCACACAACGGAAACTCATCGACTTTTGCCTTCTTTCGCCCCAAGTCAAAGATCCTGATTTTGGCATCTAGATTAGTTGGCATAGTTTTCAGTTCACATGAATTAAGAATCATAGCACTTCATGTACATTCTGTCAGTTTGTTAAGACAGTCTCATTTCTAGGTGTTCTAGCCACATCAATTATTTAGCACTAGTTTAAGCACTTACAAATGTAACCACAAAATGTTAAAACCGGGTTCCAACAAGTCATATTCAAGATCTTTCTATGAGAGTGGCTTCTTTGAATCTGATCTTCGTTTTACATTAACTCAGCTGAAATTTAAGTCCCACAAAAACAGGATCTTCACCTTTATCAAACTTCGTATTGTCTGGGACGTAGGAGACTCGTGTTTTACTTGTACCAATCGACAGTGCACTAAAGTGGTCTGGGTGCAGTGTCCAAGTCCCACTTAGTAAGGCAATGTACATGATTGCAGTCTGAGAAACTACAATAATTATATAGTAGGACTAAGAGCCACCAGAGGCACTGGTGGTTAGGAAACTTCACATCTAGCATTAAAGCCCCATAGGAAAGCATTGAAGCTCACATGCTTAAGAGGCTCCTTTTCCTCATTCCGAGTGGAGATAGGGAGAGGCAGCCAGCAGGCAAGAAATCAAACCATTCCCCAAATTTGCCATGTCTACTGTGGGGTGTCACAGACACTTTAAAAAGTGCTCTCCTGCCTACTTTCTTACGGAAGATGGTACCAAAGAGCGTGTACATGCTCTAGTAATTTCCCACATTGATTATTGTAACCCTATCCTAATTTGTCTTCCCAAAAACTGTATTGCCCTGCTACAGTCTGTAATGAATGCCGCTGCCAGACTGATTTTCCTCTAGTCGGTCCTCTCACCCCTTTGTTAGTCAATACATTGGCTTCTTGTATCCTATAGGAGTCATTTCTAAATTCCAACCCATACCTATAAAGCATTGACCAATTCTAGCCCCTCATCTCTTCACAGATCCATAGGTATGCCCCTTCTCAGTCTCTCCGCTCTGCCCATGACCTTGTCCTGTCTGCTGCGTGCACCCGTACAGCCAACTCACGCTTGCAGGACTTCACACGGGAAGCTCCATTCCTATGGAATAGCCTGCCTAACACCAGACGCTCCCATAGTCTTCAATCCTTTAAGAAGTACCTGAAAACCCATCTTTTAAGGAACGGTTATGGCCTCCCAGAGTAACTTCTACCTCACATCCCTGTCTCTTGCTCTCTCCTAAAGGGCAGCACTCTACTCTCCTCCAGCTCTGCTTCACTCCCATCTATTTTGATTGCTATTACTGGTCCCATTGTGTTTTACACCTCACCCCCAATAGGCTAAGCTTGTTTGAGCAGGGCTCTCTTCAACCTATTGTTCCTGTAAGTTTCTTGCAATTGTCCTATTTATAGCCAAATCCCCTCTTATATTATAAAGAGCTACGGAATCTGTCGGGCTATATAAATGGTAATATTACTGTACTAAAACTTTTCTAGCTTTCAAAGTGAAGCTAGCATCTTTGCAAAAAAGCCCTTGTATTCAGCTCAGCCACTCCGAGCTTTACATCCGGCTGAGGTCTTGTGCATGCATTGTAATGCTGTTCTTAAGTTAGAGTGTTATTACCATGCAGCTTACTATAGATGACAATACATAGATTTAATCAAGCAGCTTCTAACTGTACAAGAGCACGTCAACACTTTCTGCAGAAAACACAAATTACTGCTTTTAAGGTTAAACATTGAGAACACATACCTGGAACACCCCTACAGAAGCGAGATTTCGGGTATGGCTTGTTCTTACAGTATCTGTAGCTGAAAAGAATATCAAGTATACCATCCTTAAATGAAAATACAGGAAGTATTCTAACCAAGATCAAAAAATATATTATAGTTTGAGAACTTATGAAAGCCTGCCAAATAGACATTTGGGTTTGTTTAGCTTTGGACAACAGTCAACTGGCTCAGTTATAAGTTGTACATGCAGTTCAGGCACTTCTACAGAACCCCCAGATGCATACAACACTGCCAACACCGTAAAGGGTCACGAAAGCCACTTCATTTTAATAGGAGAGACCCCCCCCCCCACCGAGACCAGCAAGGAGAGGGGCAGACCAGCAAGGAGAGAGACCCCCAACCCAGCAGGAGAGACCCCCACCCCGGCGGGACCAGCTAGGAGAGACCCCCACCACCCCGGCGGGACCAGCAAGGAGAGACCCCCGGTGGCCCAGCTAGGGACCCCCGGTAGTCCCAGCTAGGAGAGACCCCCCCACCACCCCGGTAGGCCCAGCTAGGAGAGACCCCCCGGTAGGCCCAGCTAAGGGAGGCCCATGTGAGAGGCTCGGGGTGAGACCATCGCAGGCAGGAAAGGCCCCGGAGCACGAGGCGCGTTTCGCGAACTCACCAGCGGGCGGGTCGGCGGCCCATGGCGACGCAGAGACCTGGAATGAGAGAAGATGGCGGTTAGCGGGCGGTAAGATGGCGGATGGCGGGCCGGAGCAGCCGAGAGAGAACGCAGAGACACACCGAGCACTCACCTCACCAGCAGCTAAAAGGAAGCCACGGCGCCTGCGCACTGTCTTTTATATGTGCCCACCCCTCCCAACGAACGATGCTCCTCCCCCTATATGGATTAACGCTGGCTCGTGGCAAACGTGATGACGTCAGAGAGCGCGGATAGCCATTTTTCTTACTGGATCGGGCAAGCTCTAGTAGTTAATACATGCAGGAAAACACTACTTTAAATGAACACTATAGGGTCAGGAACACAAACATGCATTCCTGACCCTATAGTGTTAAAGGGATTCTATAGTGTCAGGAAACCAAAGCCGTTTTCCTGGCACTATGGGCTTCTAAGGTGCCCCCCCTCCTCCCGCAGTATTGAAGGGGTTATAACCCCTTCAGTGACTTACCCAATGTCCTTCAGCGGCGGCACAGGACGGGTTACCAGGTCTCAAGATGGCGTCGGACCACGCATTGCCCCAGACCTCAGAGGAGGACAGACTGCAGTGCTGGAGAGAGGCCTTTCTTGCAGCTTTTTCTGATATCTGTGCACAGTTTTGGCGCTATGTCCACACATGGGCACTCCAAGCAGTTTCCTTCCCTCACATGCAGTTCCAGAGGGCTCCTTGTCCTACTCCCCACATTCTGGGCCAGGAGCCCAGAAGGTGCTTCAACACAGATATCGTCCACAATGGGAGGAGAACTCATTAACGGGACTCTCTCGGTGTGGCAGAAATGCCTCTGCCACGTGTTCTTGGAGGGGTCTGCTTGCCAGCCTCCTGCCAAAAGACTATGGTCCCTTTAAAAACTAAAGGAACAAACTTGGTTTGTGGGATTTTAGATTTGGTTCGGGAGCCGAACAGCCGCACGAACCAGAGACTACCCGGGAGCTTGTTAAGCCCTATTAACACCTTGGAACGAATCTAACCGCAGTGTTCTAATTGTCTGTTTGGGTGGCCACTGTTCACATGAACGACCACTGAAACTCTGAACATGGTTGGACTTCCAGGATCGCCTGCGTTCGGTTCTACACCACTTAGAAGGGCACTGTTCGGTGGAAACGCTCCCATGAACAAGGTGAACAAGCTCCAGTGTAAGAACATTGACTAGGTTTGGTAGTTTGTTCCGTTTTTAAACTACCGAACTAGACCGACCGCAAGCACTGATTCTATGGAAATGCTTTGGGCGGTTGGTCAAATTAGGACTTCCAGTAAATTCCTGAACCCCTGAACAGATCTTTGTGATTTTTGGATATGTTGATCAGGGGATTTAAATTTGTGGGATTTTGTGTGTATAACCCCTTAACCCCTTAAGGACCTATGACATGTGTGACATGTCATGATTCCCTTTTATTCCAGAAGTTTGGTCCTTAAGGGGTTAAAGGTATTTTTGGGGGTTTGTGTTTCAGTTGTCTCATTGTTTATAATCTCAACCACTGCCTGTAATCTTATGATGCGATTGAGATGTATATGGGTGTTCGATAACTATAAGTACCATCTTCAGCCCAAGTAGCAGCTCCATAGTAATTAATAATGCGCTGGGGTGGCCATTCGTTATGTCAGAGTATTTATATCGGCAGACATTTTGTGCTATGATAGAAACTAAAAGTGTATATTCTGAGTCACTCTGAACAGACCAGACTCCATTTTGTTATTTCAAGTTAACAAAAAGACACTATATTTCTATCTGTAAGCTAACCACTTTCCCAGATCTGAGGAATGCATAGTATATACAAACAAGTGATAAGGAAGGGGGTTGGATAGACTGTCTAAAATGCTAATGGAATATAATCAAATCTAAACCCAGACAATTGTGACAGAGAAGATTAAATAATTTAATATTTAACTGTCTATATATATAAGGTACCATTGTATGGAAAAGGGTAAACTTAGTTCATGATCTGTCATATCAGAAATTATGGCAGGAATTGCAGACGCTAAGTCTGGACAAAATTTAAGAAACCCTTTGAAATTTTAAATTATGGCGCTATAAAGATAACGCAAAATGACGTCAAAATAGCCACCAGGAAAAGTTAACTCTTTCCTGGATAGGTATGTTTAGTGGGACAAGACTGCCCTCTACAGACCAAATAACTAATTTGCGATCTGGAAGATAACCACACCTCTAGTGCTTCTATTGGGTTATCAACTGATGACGTACAGAGAGTCTGGCCCTTTAAAAGTTAAGACAAAGGGAAGAGAGACACAAGACGAAGGAGGCAGATGCAAGATATGCAAAGGAGAGAAAAGAGAGGAATTGGAAGTTTGGGGATTCCAACTCGGACAACATCTGAGACTAACACTCTACTCCTAAAACTCTAACACTTAGAATTTACTGACTTTCTAACCAACACCTCCATGCAGAGAGACTACCAATCGGATGAAATATCTACTCAACTGGTAATTATACTGGTTTCATTTAATTAAATTAAATTAATTAAAATGTATTAATAGCATTATATATGACTGGATAAAGCACGGTCAGATTTCCATATTAAGAAATCTTAGTAACTAAGAATATATAGTTATAAACATTCTGCAGGTGGAATTAAGAATAATTATATATTGATGTGATTATCACGTTAGCATACCGCTGTTTTTTATCCAGGTATTGATTTGCTCTAAATTAAGATAGATATCTTTTAGACAATTAAAAATCTGCTTATATAATGTGGTAAATTCTCTTATGGATGGTTTAAGAAAATGACTAGTGAACTGGTTTAAATGTTATTTTATTTAAAAATACATAAGAATAGATCTTAACTACCTAGGAGATCTAGCCAGCATTGAAAGGGTTATTCTAACTGTCTGCTAAACTTTACGACCTTACGCCGCACTCTGAGGAATTCTGTTCTTCGCTGTGAAAAGTTTTACTTTCAGTCTGTGTTAAAGATGGTAATAAATAAGTCTTGACAGATAATGCTGTTTTAGCCATTGAAACGTAATACCCATTCCTTTGTATTGCATACCATTTTATACTGATTATTCATTGATTATTGTTATGCATGTTACATAATATTATTTGTTAATTATTGATTATCATAAATAAAATCTATTTTTATACATTGTGATTATTTACATGAAATACATTCCACTTAACACGATAAACGTTCTTTGGGATCTGAGAATTGAAATAGTGGGCAATTCTCACTGTTACTATTATTATCCCATAAATATCCCCACATATTGGAGGCACGGTGCTGAGATCGTTTAAGTTGAAATTGTATTTCATATATAATAATATTGGTGTAATTCATGCAATTTAATCTTAATATAGAAAAGAGTTTTGTATTGAGATTAATCAATAAAGTAAAAATAAAAATGGCCAGTGGCAGTGATAAATCTGTAACAGATAATACTGAAATAATTGAAGACCTAAGAAAACATGCTCTAGTTCATATTCATAAACATATGAAAAATGATGCAACCTATGAGGTTTGGTTGAAAAGCATAGAATGGGAAGCTAAACAAACCATTCTAACTGATGAACACATCATCATATATCTTAAAGAAATTGCTGAACAAAAGAACATAGAAAGGAAAATGGCGTACATAATACACTCTTGGCCTTTCTTTATGACAGCACTTCTTAAGGTGTGTGATGAAAACAAGTCATTGAATGCCAAATTGGACACGTACAGTGACGATTTGGGCATTCAAAATGGGAAATACCAAGATTTACTTGCTGAGCATAAAACTCGTCAGGCTGATCATGAAAAAGAAATGAAAGCTTTGATGGATAAATATGCACAGGAAATAAATCAGCTTAAAATGCAATTGGATGAGTATGAAAAGGAGAGTCAGAAATTAGACAGTGAGGTTGGTAGTCATCATTCTGTGCCAAAAAGTTGCACAAAAATGCAAGAAAGGACTATTTGTAAATCCCCTCCTTATTATAATTTTCCCACACCAAACCAGGTTTTCATAAAACAGTCTGTAAGAAAAGAGGTGAGTAATTCTGAGAAAACACCTGTAGGTTCTTGGCAATCTTGGGCAGAACAGTTTGAAAAGACTGTCCTGGCCATGCTTGACAGAAGGAATCAGATTCAAGGTGATAGGAATGAAAACAGACATGGTTCTGTTCACTGGCAGAATTCTGATGCTGATCGGAATTGTGACAGTGAACAAGAAGCTCAGAGTGATGGGAGTGAAAGTGATTGCACTATCCACTCTGAAGGCCATGTAACTGATATGCCATCTGCGCTGTTGTATGGGTCTAATTCCTCTTCAGCAGACAGATCGCATAGACGTTTACCCAAACACAGAAACAGAGATCGTAAATCAACGACGCCTGTTTATGAAACACCAAAGGTCATCAAATTCCTTAGAGAGATTGTCCCACAATTTTCTAGAGGTTCAGGAAACATATCTGAACATCTGGAAAATTATGATAGAGCAATGAATTCATTGGGCATGTATGATGACATTCACAAGAAATGGTTCATTACATGGACCTTTGATTCAATGTGCCGTGTTTATCTAGAAAGTCTTCAAGCTATACAGTTAATGTCCTGGTCCAAGATGAAATATGAAATAATCATGGAATATGGTAAGTATAAAACTATTGTCTCTGCAAAGAGGGCGCTTTATAACTTAAAGTGCCGTCCAGATCAAAGCCCCAGAGAATTTTTAATAATTCTTAAAAATGCATACTCCGTGGCCCAAAGGAAACCCAGGTATGAAAGCACAGACTTCAAAGATCTGTATTTTCATGCCATGCCAGTAAACATACAAATGAATCTCGCAAGAGATTACGATTGTAAGTTACCATTAGAATGGCTAGTCAGTCAGTGCATGAAATTGTATACTATACACCATGCACATGACGAAAATCAGCCAAAGGTTAAGAAACCTGGTGATAAAATGGTGTCAGAGACTAAAATTCAGTTAGGTTTAGAAACCCAACAGAAAAAGAGGACCTATTCCGAGGTTTTGAAAACTCCAAAACCTCAGAAACAGGAAAATGCCGGAAGCAATTCTGCAAATTCCTCTAATAACTCTGAAAAGTCCAATACCAATGGGAATAAACGCCCCTGGGTTAATAAGAACCAAGGCAATTCCCAATGGAGAAGGAATCCTCAGGGAAATAGGAGATATGGAAACAGAAACAACCAATCTGCTTCCAATAACTCCCAACAGTCTCAGCCATCCCAGCCAAATTCTAATGGGCAAAGACAAAACGGCAATGGGGGAAATAATTTGCGTCGTCAGGTTGGTCAATTGACAGACCAGATGGGCAAATTAATGGAGGGAATGACAAAGATTAACGAAGTCTTTGCCAAAAATCCTTTTTTAGGGATAGCTCCAATTGCAGAACTACCTGTGCAACCGCAGCAACAACAACAGGTGCCGCAGCAATAATAGCCACTGTGACTAAACAGGCTAGGTTATCAGTAGATGTAATGCCTAACCCTGTTTCCTTTCCAGGTACTCATAGTCAGACAAACAATAGTTGTGTTAGAAAACCTATTGCCTATACCGTCACTTCACTTTCGGGTGAAGGAGGCGCAACGTGTTCCTCTGTTTTTTCATTTCAGCCAAAGGCTAAAATAGCCCCAGCAGCCACAAGTTTCCAGGATCCAGACCTGAAAGGGTTAACTGATGAGATGCCGACCACTAGTTCCCGCTTGACAGTTCAAGATATTCCTAAGAAGGATGGGCCTGTGGGTAAGACTGAGCATTCCTCAGTACAGGTAGAAACTACTGCTGTGACCGGTAATGTATGGAAAACAAGTAATATGTTGACACATTCTAAATTCTTATGTGAATTAGAAGAACATGAAGGAAGGTACTACATGTCTGTAGAAATACAGGATTCGCTACCCCAGCCTTTTAAAGGGTTAATAGATACTGGTTCACAAGCCACTATCTTATCCAATACCTACTTCCAGCAGGTAATGGACTTAGCAACGGATAAGCCGAAGCTAAGAGATTTCCCCAATGCTCTGTTGAGTGTAGGAGGAAATGCCCTTCATGTTATTGGCAATACTTGGTTAAAGTTTAAAATAGGTAACAAAACCTTTAGACACCCGGTGATAGTGGTAGATCTCCCCTATGACCGACTGATTCTGGGTATAGACATACTCAGAAGACTTAACACAATTATTGACTGTGTAAATGGAATTGTATGGTCACAAGCTAAGGTTCCCATAACCTATGAGAAATCACATGTTCAATCTGATCGTAACTGCCATGTGATAGAAGAAAGACCTGACTCAATTGAGGTACATTTTAGAAATAGTCAGTCACCTGACGTGACTATCCTGCAGGTGAATGATGCAATCGCACCTGTAGATGAGCATTCCATAAGAATTGCTCCAGAGAGGATCCAGAATGTCTCTCTGGAAGGTGATGTTTTAACCATTTCTCTCCACAGGGACTATGTTGAATCTGTAGATCTGGCAGGTCATGCTCAATTCCTTGCCAGAATTGAAAGGGTTAATAACAACTTATTCTTTCCTATGCAAATAAATGACTTAGGAAGAAGTAGGAATGCAAAGCTGGA